TTTTGAAAGCTAACACTTTAGTCTATACTCCAGAGGAAAAGTTTCATGAGTTTTGATGTGTCTTCTAAGAGTTATAGATGAAAAATGAGACACAAAATTTCTGACCGACCATTGTTGCACACCAAATTTATTTTGGGTGTTGTGAGGTCATAAAGTCATATTTTCTCATGCTTCCACTTGGGTTTGAAAACGAATACACTAAATATTATTGAGGAAAAATATTCATGCTTATTGGGTCAATACACAACCAGATATGGTCATTCCAAACTCATGCAATGAATCTGTCCAGAAGTAAAGTCATTCTTTTATGCAAAAATGGATTTTTATGCACCAAAATTTTCAAAAATGATGATTTTATGGGAGAAGATCACTCTACTATTCAATATTAAAGTAAGAATATATAAAATACACTATTCAACCAAAATGAAAGAGAACTCAGATTCCATAAGAGACACAAAAATCTAAGAAATGAAGGGTTTTTCTTGCTTTTCAAAAGTTCTAGATGCATAGGTCATGGATTTTCACCATATTAAGAACATTTTTCATGTCTTTGATGTAAAATATACCCTTAGAACTTAGAATGAATGACACCTCTTCTTTGCAATCTTAAGAGTATGAAAATGACAAGAAAATGGCACTAAAAGTGCATAAAATGAAACCAAAATACTAACAAGTTCTTACCTTGGATTAAAAGAAGATGATGTCTTCAAGTTTTGTTTCTTGAATTCCCTTTTCTTTTCTTTGAAAGGCTGAATTTTGCTTGAAGAAGAAGATGGAGGGAGAGAGTAAAGAGATGAAAAGTGAGGGAGAGTAAGGAGGTGAAAGGTTGAGAGATAAATGAGAAATGAGTGTTTTAAAGTTTCAAAATGTTTTTATATGTAGAAGGGGGGGCCATGTGGTGGGCCTATAGGTCTCCCTTCTATTTTTTTTTTGTAAAAACTTAGCCCATAATCTAATTAGTTAGGTACTTTTGTGAGATATTGAAAAAAAGGCCCAAATTTCTATTTTATGAGAAAAATAAATTTCTTAAATATAATTTTAAGTAAAAAATATTTAAAATATGTAGACTCTATATTTTATGCAGGTTTTGAAAAATTATTTGAAGTGTTTGGCATTTTCTAAGACGATCCGGTTCATTACGGGTCGAAACAGTGTTTTCTATGCAACCTACTGGGATTTCTAACTACTTAAGCTCTAATCGCTCTAATCGCTCTAATTGAGTGTTAATAATATTTCTAAAGTGCTATCTAGCTACTAACTTGGTATTTAAATTTCCGAATGCAACAGCTTCCCCCTGTTAGAGGAATTTCGTCCCGAAATTTAACTGTTGGCATCACCGATTGGTTCTTTCATAAAAAGTTGCGGGTAATTATTTTTCATAAAGTCCTCCCTTTCCCAAGGGTAATCGGGTCCATGCCTTGAATTCCATCGAACTTTCAGGATAGGAATCTTACTATGTCTCAGATGTTTGACTTTATGGTCGAGGATTTCGATCGGCTCTTCAACGAAGCGTAACCGTTCTTTAATTTATATGTCTTCCAAAGGTAGAACCAAAGATTCGTCGGTTAAACATTTCTTAAGGTTTGATATATGAAATGTATCATGGATGGCACTAAGCTCTTGAGGCAAGTTTAGTTTGTATGCAACCGGTCCTACTCTTTCGAGTATTTCAAATGGACCAACATACCTTGGGCTAAGTTTTCATTTCTTTCCGAAGCGCACAACTCCTTTCCATGGAGATACTTTTAAAAGGACTTTATCACCCACTCCTTTATTTCAAATGGACCAACATATCTTGCAGCTTTAAGTCTTTCTTGGATGATCGAGATTTTGTCGGTTGTCTCCTGGATAATGTCAGGTCTCATCAGTTGTCTGTCACCAATTTCCAACCAGCTGAGTGGGGATCTACAGTTACACCCATACAAGGCTTCGTACGGTGCACACTGGATACTGGTGTGATAGCCATTGTTGTAAGAAAATTCAACCAATGGTAGGTGAGTGTCCTAACTACCTCCAAAGTCTATCACACAGGCTCGTAACATATCCTCTAGCGTTTGGATAGTCCTTTCCGTTTGCCCATCCATTTGAGGATGATAGGAAGTGCTTAAGTCCAACCTCGTGCCTAGTGCCTTTTGAACTGATTGCCATAATCGTGAAGTAAAAAGGCTATCTCTGTTTGAGATGATAGAAATAGGCACTCCATGACACGATACGATTTCATTGATATATAATTGTGCAAGCGTTTCCATACTGAAGTCTTCTCGAACAGGTAAAAAGTGCGCAGATTTCGTAAGCCGATCCACTATGACCCAAATTGAGTCATGTCCTTTCCTAGTCCTAGGTAACYTAGTAACAAAGTCCATTGATATCTGATCCCACTTCCATTGGGGAATCTCTGGTTGCTGAAGGAGACCAGACGGTTTCTGATGCTCAGCTTTTACCCTTACGCATGTTAAGCACTGGCTTACGTACAAAGCAACGTCCTTCTTCATTCCTAGCCACCAATAATACTCTCTTAGCTCTTTGTACATCTTATCGGTTCCTGGGTGAATTGAGTATCTTGAGCGATGTGCTTCCTCCAAAATTGTTGAYCGAAGGCTGTCGTCCTTTGGTATCCAAACTCTATCTCTGAAGTAATGCACCCCATCTGCTCGAGTTTCAAATTCCTTCTCTAAATGGTGCAGGGTCTCGTTCTTTAGATTCTCCGATTTCAACGCCTCATCTTGAGCTTCAAGAATTTGAATTTTTAGGTTCGTTTGAATCAGCATCCCCATGGCTTGTACCCTTGACGGTTTTACCCTTTCTTTCCGGCTTAATGCGTCTGCTACCACGTTAGCTTTCCCCGGGTGGTACTTTATTTCACAGTCATAATCGTTGAGAAGTTCGACCCATCTCCATTGCCTCATGTTCAGCATCTTTTGGTCTAGGATATGTTGAAGGCTTTTGTGATCAGTGACGATGGTGCATTTGGTGCCGTAGAGATAATGTCTCCAAATCTTGAGTGCAAACACCACTGCTCCTAGCTCCAAGTCATGAGTGGTGTAGTTCTTTTCATGAACCTTGAGTTTCCTTGATGCATAAGCAATGACCTTGTCATTTTGCATCAGCACACATCCCAAGCCTAGGTGTGACGCATCGCAGTATACCACAAAATTCTCCGTACCTTCTGGTAACGCTAAGATCGGTGTGTGACATAGCTTATGCTTGAGCAATTGGAATGCTTCTTCTTGATTTTCTTCCCATATGAACTCCTTATCCTTCTGGGTTAATGCAGTCAGTGGTTGTGCGATCTTGGAGAAATTTGAAATAAAACGACGATAGTAACCTGCTAAACCGAGAAATTGGCGATTTTCTGTCGGGGTCCCTGGGGCTTCCCACTTCTTTATAGCCTCAACTTTGGTCAGATCAACATGAATTCCCTTCTCATTTACCACATGACCAATGAAGTGCACCTCACGAATCCAAAATTCGCATTTGGAGAACTTGGCATACAATTTTTGATCCCTTAACAGCTCAAGTATCAACTTTAAGTGTTGTTCATGCTCCTCCTTGTTTTGCGAATAGATCGGTATGTCATCTATGAATACAATCACGAACTTATCCAAAAATGGCCTGCATACTCTATTCATTAAATCCATGAAAACTATTGGGTCGTTAGTTAACCTAAAGGGCATAACTAAGAATTCATAATGACCATAACGAGTTCGGAACGCCGTCTTAGGAATATCTACCTCACGGACCCTCATTTGATGGTATCCGGATCGAAGATCGATCTTTGAAAAGTAAGTGGCACCTTGAAGTTGATCGATCAAGTCATCGATTCGGGGAAGGGGATATCGGTTCTTGATGGTCGGCTTATTGAGTTCCCTATAATCGATGTACATGGAAAGGGATCCATCTTTCTTTTTAACAAATAGTACTGGAGCTCCCCAGGGTGAAGAGTTGGGTCTGATGAATCCTTTGTCGAGTAGCTCCTTAAGTTGTTCTAACAATTCTTTCATTTCCAATGGTGCCAAACGATAAAGTGATTTGGCTATGGGCGCTGCTCCAGGAATTAAGTCAATGTGGAATTCGACTTGCCGCAACAGGGGTAATCCTGGTAGCTCATCAGGAAATACCTCGGGAAAATCCCGTACTATGGGAAAATCCTGGATGCGTTTCACTTCGATTCCCTTATCCACAATGTGAGCCATAAACGCGACATATTCCTTTTTCAAGTATTTTCGCATCTTCATACATGTTACTAACTTAAAATTTCTATAGGACTTCTCTCCGTGCACCACGAGCGTTTCACTTCCTTTTAAAATTCGGATGGTCTTCTCAGAACAACATATCTCGGCTCAATTTTTGGATAGCTAATCCATACCCACAACTACATCAAAGCTTCCTAATCTGATTGGAATAAGGTCTATGCTAAAGTCTTGTTTGGCTAAACGTAAGGTACAATTCGTGATTACGTCTTTAGTCCTAACTTCCTGTCCATTAGCAAACTTGATAACAAAATATTCTTTCAGCTTTTGCGACTTTAAACTAATCTTTGGTCTAAATTCTAGTGACACAAATCTCCTATCTGCTCCAGAATCAAATAATACGGGTGCGTAATGATTGTTCAGGAGGAATGGACCTGTGACCACGTTTGAGTCTTGCCTGGCTTCTTCTACCCTAATCTCAAACGCTCGACCTCGTGCTTGGCCTCCTTGATTTCCTTGGTTGACTGGTCGTGCTTGGTTAGTAACTGGCCCTCGGTTCAGTCTCGGGCATGCATTCCTAAAGTGATCCGGGCTTCCGCACTCATGACATGTTCGTCTCATTCCGCTCCTGCAATCTTTAGCCAAATGACCTCCTTTATTGCATCTGAGACAGATGATGCATCTCTCGCCATGGTGAATATTGCACTTGTCACACCTAGGGTAAGCTCCCTTGTCCTTTTCTGTTGTCTGTGTCTGAGCCCCAAACTTTCTTATCACTTTTTGGGCCTTACCGCCCCTTTCACTGTAGTTCTATCTCGCGGGCTCCTCCATTCTTCTCTTACCCTTGACTTTATCATTTGCAAATGATCCTGACCGAATAGCATTGTTGGTGAGTTTTGTCGCTAAGTTCACAGCGTCCTGAAGTGTTTTTGGATTGGCCGAAGTCACATTCCCTCGGATTTCTGGAGCTAAACCCCAGACATAACGGTCAATTCGGTTCTCTTCGGGTGATACCAAGTGTGGCACCAGTTTTGCCAACTCATGAAAGCGAGCAGTGTATGAGTCTACATCACTTCCCTTCATTTCGTGATTCCACAGTTCTACTTCTAACTTATGGATCTCGCTCCTCAAACAGTACTCTTCCTTGAGTAATTTCTTCAATTCTTCCCATGTAAGTCTGTTGATTGTTTCCCGACCTCGGGTTTGTATCTGGGTATTCCACCACGTCAATGCTCGTCCTTGTAGTAAACAAGCTGCAAACTCCACTTTTCTTCCTTCAACACATTTACTGATATGAAGGACGGACTCCATTCCTTCATTCCAAGCAAGTAATCCCACGGCTCCTTTGGTCCCATGAAATTCTTTTAGGTTGCAAGCCCTAAAGCCTTTATATGTGCAGTCTCTATTTGCTGTTGTACCTTGGTTGTTTGCTTGGTTGGCATTCAAGCCTGCTGCTACTTGGCTAACTATATTAGGAAGGGCCGCTAGAATTTGCTCGGACACAAGTCTCGCAATTTCGGGATCTTCTCTTCTTGGAGGCATATTTCTAACGCACAAATTTTAAATCAGAGTTCGGTTATTTTTACTGTTTATCACTGTATCTACTTTATTGAATTATGCACGGCATAATTCAATCATCTAAACATGCATCCATGGCAATATATAAAAACTTGTAATAATAAAAGCATTCAATCATTAATCAACATAATTCAACCAAAATAAAAACCCATATCATTCATAAAGAAAATAAAGACGTGCAACAAAAAGAAAGATATTGTTCACAAGTCACGGCTACATGCCCCAAAAGAAGATTCTAAGTTCAATCTATCAAAAGCTTAATAAAATAGAGTCTCTTAACGCATTACACTCCAAACAAGTAGTCCCATCACTATCACCAAAACTCCTGCTAACACCGCCAAGTAGGTATATAACCTCCTAATCGCTCCCCTAGCGGTGTTAATCAACTCCAACGAACGATCCATCACATTGTCTTTTGTGCCTAGAGCCATAATCACCCCGTCGGCAAAGTGTCGATGATGATCCAACCTAAGTTTACACATCTTTAGGTCTTGGGCGATGCCCAAAACCCATAGGTTCTCTAAGCTGGTCATGCCCGGAGAGCGCTCCGACGTGGTCCTGGTAGTAGGTGGGGGAGTCACACTATGGGTGCACGACTGGGATGACTCCCTCCCAACTCCAGAAGGAGCGGAGAAGGACACCCTTACGGGCGGGCATAAGGCGGGGCGGCACGGGGGTAGGTGATCGCATCGAGGACTCGGCGACATCGTCGTCACTATCATAACTATGCTCGGAGGGGTCGTACTCTTCGGAGTTCGAATATTCATTAATTGATGACATAGCTGCGATATTTAACAAAATTTAAATTATTTAACGAATCATAATAAATATCAAAAACATGCAATGTTTATGCAAACCCACACATGCAAATCGTGCTTTTCTTATTTGAGTAAGAAGTTCTTAACTTTAGACGAACACCTAACATAACCGGTCCGCCTCTCTCCTTATACATGCTTAATTAGACATAGGTGATCAGGCTTTGTCTAATTAGAGTATGCTAAGAAGGCACTCATTCTAGTTATATTAGTAGCATGTTTGTTTCGAATTTTTGAGACTCTTTTAAGAAAATTATTTTGTAAAGTTTTGGGTTATAGTGTATGGTTTTCTTAGAAAACCGGTATTCTCTATAACCTACGGCTCTGATACCAAATCTGTCACACCCCGCTAAAGCGGAAACACGAGGTATGGCAGGTAGAGTCTCATAACAATATAGTATAATAACACCACCATACATTAAAATTTTATTACATCACAATCTAGCGTTTACATTCCCAAAATGACAAGTTTGTAAAATAATAAAAAAAATTCATAGGTGATGATCGAAACACGGCTTCTTTTAAAGGCCACCATGTGCCTTTCTTACCCCTGAAAAGCACGTTAAAACAAGTGTCAACTACAAGATTTGGTGAGTTCACAGGTTTTCATTGTATAACAAATCTTTATGCAATAAATAGTTTGAGTAAGTCTTTTGCTTACTCGCAACAACTTTCATACGTGTAGCACTTTTAACGAGGCACAATGTACTCCAAGTAAATTTAAGTGTTCGGCCACTACTAAACCTGCGACAACTACACCCTTTATACCGAACTACCTCAGCGGTGGTGTTTAAACCACATGTGTAGAACCCGTGTTTAGTTAAATGCACCCCTACTCGTCAGTAAAAGGTGGGATTGTCAATCCAAATAGCGCTATCCATTAAACCATCGGCTCATACGAGTTAATAATTAGTGTAACCAAGTGGGACTTTTTAATTAACCCAAACACAATTTTTACTAGCATACATGGTGTTAGTGCTCGTATTCATAATTTCATTTCAATGCATTTTTCATATAATCAATTTGTATCCATGATTTAAACACATTGTATATTTCATACAAATATCAAATACTTTTATACGCGCTTTTCCCCCAAATAACGATGGATTTAAAAAAAAGGCCGTGAATACACACCTTTTCTTTCACGGAGAAGATGGTTGAGTGATCAAATGGTATGTCTTGGTAAAGTCCTTTTAGTGAATCCCTATAGAAAACGAACGGTTGTCAAACTCTTAAAGGTTAAGGATTCTATTCTACCTTTACGTCTTATAAATGCCTCTTTATGTTCATAAGAATAAAATAAAATAAATCAAGTTTTAAACACTTTTTATGCTTATTATGGGGTTTATGGTTTAAGAGTACAATCTTTAGTGGTTATAGAAAATCATGCATGCTGACAGAATCTTTGTGACTCAATAATGTCCATGGTTCACCCTCATCAAAGAAGTATATTTTCCAGAATTTTTTATATGTTTTAGTATACTGAGTTAGGATCAGTATAACCAAAAATCAAGATTTTTAGATGAGTGGAAGGGTCTCAAATTTCTTTTACCAAAACAGTGATTACAGCTTTCAAAACAGAAAATCCCTTCTTAATGTTACACCCTTTTGAAAGAGTTATACTTATTATTTTCCAGTGGTTCATGAATCGTTTTAAAGCTAACACATAAGGATAACTTTTACAAAAAGAATAACTATATTTGGATGTATAGTTTGGGAGTTATGGTTGTTTAAACATGCATGTGGAAATCTGTCAAGTCCTGACAGATTGCACACTTATTTTGTAAAAATCGGTTGAACCCATAAATCACCATTTTTTTGGGTGGGGTTAGACTCTTTTAAAATCTAACACTTTAAGCTATACTACAGAGGAAAAGTTTCATGAGTTTTGATGTGTCTTCTAAGAGTTATAGATGAACAATGAGACACAAAATTTCTGACCGACAACTATTGCACACCAAATTTGTTTTGGGTGTTGTGAGGTCATAAATTCATATTTTCTCATGCTTCCACTTAGGTTTGAAAACTAATACACTAAATATTATTGAGAAAAAATATTCATGATTATTGGGTCAATACACAATCACATATGATCGTTCCAAACTCATGCAATGAATCTGTTCAGAAGTAAAGTCATTCTTTTATGCAAAATGGATTTTTATGCATCAAAAATTCCAAAAATGATGATTTTATGGAAGAAGATCACTCTACTATTCAATATTAAAATAAGAATATATAAAATATACTATTCTTGGTAACAAAAATGAAAGAGAACTCRGATTCCATAAGAGATACAAAAATGCAAGAAATGAAGGGTTTTTCTTGCTTTTCAAAAGTTCTAGATGGTTAGGTCACAAATTTTCACCATATTAAGAACATTTTTCATGTCTTTGGTGTAAAATCTACCCTTAGAACTTAGAATGAAGAACACCTCTCCTTTGCAATCTTAAAAGTATGAAAATGACAAGAAAATGGCATTAAAAGTGCATAAAATGAAACCAAAATACTAACAAGTTCTTACCTTTGATTAAAAGAAGATGATTTCTTCAAGTTTTGTTTCTTGATTTCCCTTTTCTTTTCTTTGAATGGAGGGAGTGAGTAAGGAGATGAAAAGTGAGGGAGAGTAAGGAGATGAATGGTTGAGAGATAAATGAGAAATGAGTGTTTTAAAGATTCAAAATGTTTTTATATGTAGAGGACGGGGGGGGGGGGGGGGGGGGGGGGGGGGGGGGGATGTGGTGGGCCTATGCGCCTCCCTTCTTTTTTTGTAAAACTTAGACCATATTTTAATTAGTTGGGTACTTTTGTGAGATATTGAGAAAAATGCCCAAATTCCTATTTTATGAGATAAATAAATTTCTTAAATATAATTTTAAGTAAAAAAATATTTAAAATCTGTAAACTCTATATTTTATGCAAGTTTTAAAAAATAATTTGAAGTTTTTGGCATTTTATAAGACGATCCGGTTCATTACGGGTCAAAACAGTGTTTTCTATGCAAACTACCGGGATTTCTAACTACTTAAGATCTAATCGCTCTACTTGAGTGTTAATAATATTTCTAAAGTGCTATCTAGCTACTGACCTGGTATTTAAATTTCCGGATGTCACGGCAGTTTGTGAATAACCCATGAATATGCCTTCATCAGCCTTCTTGTCAAACTTGCCAAGATATTCCCTGTCTTTGAGTACAAAGCATTTGCACCCAAAGGAAATATTTGACATTTGGGCGTCGTTGGTTGATGAGTTCATATGGGGTCTTTTGGTGCCTCTTGTTGATGATAGAATGATTCAGAGTGAAGCAGGCAGTAGAGATTGCTTCAGCCGAGAAGGAAATGGGTAGCTCAGATGAAGTAAGCATGGTCCTTGTTGCTTCTACAAAGGTGTTAGACCCCAACTTGTGAAAGTGTAAGTAAGAAGTCTCTTACTCTAGTCGAATAGGACTAGTTCTATTTGAGGCGGTCTGGACTAAGAGCTCTCATGCAGAAGATCAAGAATCAGAGCTCTTACTCAAGAGTTAAGGTTCAATTCATACAGAGCCCGTACTCTATTCCCGTGGACGCTCAAGCCTTGTGCGCCAAAAAGCATAAGCGCTTGACTTAAAGCTGCAACTCCACGACCCAGATCCTGTGCATAGTACATACATAGCTTTTGGCTATCTTCTCCACGGAATGCGCGCGTGTTAGCCCAGACATTCTCGCAAGCGTCTAACAGGTTTAAGGAGGCTTGACCAAGTCTGCTCCGCTATTCAAGGAAAGTCAAAGATAAGGATGCAGACCAATCAGCTCAGAGTTTCACACCTATTTTTAAGCATAGTTTGTTAGACCTAGCGTATATAAGGAGGCTTCCGCCTCAGGTTTAAATTACCTGAAGGAACCAACTTACACTATACGCATTTTTCTGTGAGATTACATTTGTGCTTTCATTGTTCATCTTTCTATCAATAAAAGCATTTGGCATATTCAAGTTCACTTATTGTTCCTACTTTCATCTTGAATATCTCGTTTAATTTTTCAAGTTACACTTTTGTGTTTAATTCTTATCCTTTATAAACTGTGTTTCTACCAATTAAGAGTATCTGGGTTCAACAATTGGTATCAGAGAATGCTAATCAAATTCATTGATTAGTCGATCGATATCCAACTGGAT